ATACCAAAGCAATACGTAAAGGATAGTAAAGCGTGCGATAACGGCTTCGGGCGACTTCGGGCGGCTTCTGCAACATGCATCGAAGCCATTATCGCATTGTGTCGCACGTGCCGTTTTATCGCTCGGTTATAAGCGAGGATCGCCCGCCCTGTAGTGCAATGGAAAGCCTCTCGTTTCTCGCCGCCGTCGACCTCCCCCCTCCCCCATCCCATCCCACCCCACCCCATCCGCCCCTCCACCACCCACCACCATCACCCTCACTACTCCCCAATACATCACATTCTCTCTACCTCTCTCTATCACTCTCTATCTCTCACTCCATCATCATCCACCCAGGTAGCGCATCGGTCAATAATTCTTGAGCGAATAAAAGCCCGGGGCCGCCCTTGGGCAATAGGTCAGAGTCAGACTGAGGCCTCGCGCCATCGACGAGCAGGTGCGTCGATCGCCAGCCACCCTCGTCTTAGTGTGACCCCACCACCTCCACTGCCAACCACCACCATCACCACACGGCCCCGCGCACACTCCCTTAACCCTTGAAATAATTTAGAGGCCTAGGGGGTGTATTAAAAATTCCATTAACCAGGGCAATGCACTCGGTCCGGCGCTGTAGGTGACGAGGAGAAGGCTTGAGATTTTCAATTTTCCGAACGGGAAAGAGAGAGGGGGCGGGGGAGGGTTCATGAATTTTACGGTGGTCACCCTCGGGGCTAACTGCACCTTTCGCTGAGTGTTGCCTTAGCGTTGCTAAGCGCTTTTCCTCCGGTGATTGAGCGTAGCTTGTGGTTACCAACGAGCGCAATGCCAACGTGCGCCAAAACAACTCCACTTTGTTCACCTTTCCATATGTATTTATTTTACCTGTGTTTTATTAATGCCGGATTTTTCCAGAGTTTCAAGGATTTTTCGTTATTGAGCGAGAGCGATATCGATTTCGTTTACCAAGCCTATCGAACAGAATTATTACGAGTGAATTGCTAAGCTAATGCCGACATAGCTGTTTCCGACATAGAGTGAAAAAAATCGATTATATTGCGTGTAAAGTATCCTAATCTCTTTAAACCTTATCTACGTTGCGTTCAATGTGGATGTAATCGAAGGACAAACCGCAATTCTAATAGAATTTTCAATTGCGTTTCCGCTAATTCCCTCGGATGCACGGATCCTGGTATTAAAATTATCCATAACATTTTGCGTCGATTAATCATTATAATCATATAACCCATAATTTATCGAGGATTAAGTACTAATGTAACAAACAAATGGATAACAACGGTAATGCAGGACTCGGTGCGCGACCTGACTTTTTAGGGCCCGAGTTTGCGACACCTAAGCTCTTATTTTCAACACTACGAACATATCCTCATACATATTCTCCTATTCATAATCCATAACCATATCCTAAGAGCGAATGGACGAAATATTTTACCCCCCCCCCACCCTTGTTATAATGACTCGATTCGACGAGACGCGTCTCTAGAAGACAAAAGGCACGAGAGAGATTAGGGCCGCTATGTAAGTTGTCGAGTGCCGAAGCGATGAGGACTACGACGACGACGATTGTTCCTGGTGATTCGCGTAAAGAGCGGTCTTAGACCCTCGTGATCGCCACGAGGCCGTCGTCGAGGAACCCGGAAGCCCCCGAGCGCCCCGTCGACGCGTTTGCCGCACTGCGGGCTCTATTGATTTTCTCGGTGCGCGCACGATCCGCGGCACGAACACGACACGCACCTCGCCATGTGCCCCTTGACGCTCCATATGCGCCGAGGACGAGGGTCTTGCCAGTAAATGAAAGCAAGCGCCCCTCTTTGAACTTTAGCCCCCTTCCCCGTATCGCCCCTCTGAAGCCACTGCCCACGCAACGACGGTTCGCGCTCTTTGTGAATCGCTTATACCACCGCGGGACTTTATTTTGGCTTGGATGCACGACGATATCATAGAGAAGGAAGTGTGTCGACCTTTTGGGTAAAACTTATGCTATCCCGACGTACATTACGTATGCGATGTGACGCGCGTGGCGTTATAGCGCGTATCGACGATAACGCATTGGTCGTAAATTCACATTTAACTTTCACTCTTGTTGAATAAATACCGGATCGACGGAAATTTCAACCAGCCACGACTTATTACTATTATTATTACTATTGTTATTATTATTTTTGTTGTTGTTATTGTTACAGCTCTTATTATCGATTAGACTTATTATCGAGAGTGCAAATTCAAGTATCCAAGGCCAGAGAAGAGAGAGGCGATTGGTTTCGACTCGAAACGAGTTTTCACTATAATTAGAATAAATTTCGCTTCGATTTTATATTTTAGGACAATAATTGAGCAAGCTAGACCTATTTCTCAATGAAAATTTACATTGACAGAGGAATGACATTTGAAAATGTGACATACGTAACGGGTGCCAATCAAAGAAATTAGATTGACTAAAAAAAAAGCAAACAAGTGCGTCGGTGTTTATAATTAAATTTATTATCGGGCCATTGAACCACATAAAATGCGATGCGCGCGACATTTACCTCATCCAGCAAATATTTTCACCGAACTAATCTATAATTCAATGTCAAGACCGCGGTCAAGCAATTGCGTTGCCCTGCTGGAACATAAATCATACTATATATATATATATATATATATATTAGTAATGTATATACATATGTATATATATTAAGCACGCATGTCAAGTCAGTGTAAAATCACTGTGGAGGGAGTGAAGGAGAGGAAGGAAGTAAACTGCAAAGTTAGCGCATAATATCGAGTCAAGATACTTTGTTGTTGCTGGGGTGATAAAACTCGAGGAAATTACCTTATAGCTACAAAAAAAATCTGTATAGTGGAGTTTCCGCTTGCAAATTATAATAGGGCATGCAAATATTTAATGCGTAATATACGAGAGGCCAGTGCTATTTTGCAAGCAGGCGAAGCTGACTTATTAGTAAAACGGCAAACTCGCCAATTCATAAATAATTCATATTGCCCGCAACGGTTTGGCAACACGACAATATTATTATTAATATTAATTATTAAAAATATCTAAGATTTATACGGTACATTGCTGATTTTCGTTTTCATTTTCCCCTATCCTCTCGCGCTTCCGTTGCTCAAGTCTCGTTATCTCTCTCGTTCCCACCTTATCTCGACCTACCTCCCCCCTCACCCACCCTCTCCCCGCCAACCAACCCAAAATCCAACCATTCCGTCATGCGTTTGTAAACGTAATTCGAGAGTCGAATGCTCGGCCAAACAAAATATGAAAATACGGGGATGCTTGGATTGGCCGATCTCCAGCGTACATTTGGGGAAAAAACCCTCCCGCCCAATCGCCCGCAAAGAAAGCAGCAGCAGCACTTGATCGAGGCCAAGAGCTTGGGGAAGGGGCAGAGGAGCCCCTGGTCGCGAAGGAAAGCCAATTGGGGCAGAGGCGTTGACGTACCTTTCTCGGAAGGCTGCGAGTTCTCGTCGAAGACCTCCTTGCACACGATCGTGGAGCCGCTGTCGTGCGAGAGGCTCATGATGGATCGCTCGGGGGCCGCGAGATCCGGGCGCAGCTGTTAAACGACCAGCGCGACTCGCGGGCGGCTAGCGCCTAATTACGATAATCCATCGGTCTCGGCCCGAGCCCCTCGTCCAGGAATAAGAGCCACGGCGCCGCTGCCATTTTCCTCGCCACCTCGAACGCGTCCCTTTTTTGTTTTTCCTCCGCGCGCACTACTATTCGGCTTTTCGCGCTTGCGCCTCGCGGATCGCGCCCACACCGCAGCACGCCAATGATTCACGACCCGAACCGCTCGCGGCCGCGGGAGGGTTGCTAATACCGGACACACCGCGAATAATCGGCCCCCGGGCTTCGGCGCGGCCGTCACCGCCGTCGCCGCCGCCGCCGCCGTCAGCGCGGCTACCACCACCATCATCTCCACCACCACCACCACCACCACCACCACCACCACCGTCACCATCACCGCCGTCGCTACCTCCACCACCACCGCCAACACCGCCAACACCGCCAACACCACCACCACTACCTCAACAACGACGGCAACGACGAGTCCACGAACGAATCATAATGCCTCTTCTGCTGCTCACCGAGAACACTGCATTATCAACGACTGAGTCGTTATTGTTCAACCGCCGATAAAAAGACGCGCGTCGTTATCGATCCCGGTAGTTGCTCATTTGCTCATTCTGATGATCAAGGGAGCTGGGACACTGGGGCTGCCAGTTTGCGCACACTAATTATTCGATGAAAAATCAGGACTTGGAGATCAGTCCTGAAGAGAATGAATCGTGATGATCCGTATCCCCGTTCTTTCTGACCCTCGCGTGACGATCGATCATCGCGGTGGCATCTGGTGGCTGACAAGCGTGGAGCCGAAACCAGCCATATTACGTCATTATATCGCAGCCAGCACGTTTACGCACAGCATCTGAGCGACAGTAGACGGACAGACAAACAAATATAGCGATCGTGCGCGGGAGGGAGAGAGAGCGAGAAGGGGAAATGCAGGTCCAGAGCCGCCACCGCTACTGCTCGGCACCACCACCACCACCGCCACCACCTCCACCACCTCCACCACCTCCACCACCGCCACCATCACCACCACTAACACCGCCGCCGCCGCAGCCGCCGCCGCTGTCGCCGTTGCCAGTTCCTGTATATGTCCGCCAACTGCGAGGCGCGACCTCTGCTGTATGTATCGGTGGTACTCAGTGCGTTGCGAACCTCAACTTCAATCGTGTCTTTGCACTTGGTCGCGGCCTGTGCTCCTCGGCAACTCGTGCTCGCATCTATCTCTCTCTCAGGACCCATTGTTCCCCGTTGTCGCAGTCCGCTCGCGTCATCGGCGAGCGACGGGTGCTAGTCAGAGGTTTGTGTGTTCCCGCCACCGTCCCATAGTGCCACCCGGGCGAATCCCGAGTCGAGGAAGCGCCAAAGTAGCGGGCAGAGAAAGAGGAGGAGGAGGAGGAGGAGGTTGTGGTGGTGGTGGTGGTGGTGGTGGTGGTGGTGGTGGAGTACGACGACGACGACGACGACGACGAGGAGAAGAAGAAGAAAAAGAGAAATAAGCCGGATAGAATGGCGGACGACGGACAGGAGAACGACACGAGCAACGGCGATGTGCCGGAGATCGAGCTCATCATAAAGGTAAAGGCCGAGGAACCGGCTGTGAAGCTTTACTTCAATGCACTTTACTTCCGCTTTGCGCGCACACAAGCTAAGAGCCTCGCCAACAGTTGGAGGCCCGACTCTAAAGAGAGAGAGAGAGAGAGATCAACGAGAAATGGGCGTGGAAACAACTCCAGGGAGTCCTTCCTTTGCCTGCGATATCTCACACCTGCCCTATCCGTCTTGTCCGTTTTCCCTTTTGCACATTCTTCCACTTTCCTGCAAGATATTTTGCTTCCTTCTAGTCATCCTTCCCCGTCACACACACACGCGCGCGCGCGCGCGCGCGCACCCTCTCTCTCTCTCTCTCTCTCTCTCACTCTCTCTCAATCTCTCTCAATCTCTCTTGCATACACACACGCGCGCGCGCGCGCGCACACACATATACTTATTTCTTTTTCGTGCCGTCCGTCAAGTCATGATAGTAACCTTCATTTGATTACAAACGCGATTAAAGTCTTTCAATATAAGGTAATATAAATGCTATTATAACTGATCGTTATGCTGGTAAGCACAGTTCGAAGATAGCAAAACGTAATAAAGTACCCTTTTTTATAATGCAACAAAGGTCGTAAGAAAAAAAATTGAAGGTTAGGTTCCGTCTATGTATTGTGCGATTATTTAAAAAAAAAAAAAAATATATATATATATGTACGTAATATTACTTCCATAATTCTTTAACGTTACTACATTAAAAATGACTTTGTTACGAGAAGCAGAATTTTTATCTCGTTGAGTATAATATGTATTTCAACACCAGTAAATTATAATAATATTTATGTAAAATGTCAATACGTTAAAAGTATAAAAGTTTCGACTGTGAGAATCTCGAGAAAAACGACCGTAAACTCGTATCAATTTGTCCATGTAAATATTGCCGTGTAAAAGTACACCACTCTAAAACACAATGTGTACTATTGCAGTCGTACGTTATTAAAACTTAATCAAGCGTTAAAAATTATGCTTAATTTGCCGGTTTTTGCGTGCAATTCTACCATCTCTCACAGATCCAACCGCAAAATGCCCTTTCTCGTAAGATCCTCACGACTCTTACGAATTACAAAAAGTAACGATCTAAGCATCGTCTTCCGACGATCGTGCGATCAAGTATCTAATCATTCGAAAGCTTCGTCGTACAAATCGCAAGCAGTCACGAAGAGAAACTGCATTTCCTCATAATGCCATTATTGAGAAGTACGATCTTCTCATGGTAGGATGAACGGAGTTGGCCGAGAGGAAAAGCAAAAACAATCATCGGCCAGTGCACGAATTATCGACTAGGAAGCGGAAAAGAGAGAGAGAGAGAGAGAGAGAGAGAGAGAGAGTGTGTGTGTGTGTGTGTGAGCGAGTGAGTGAGTGAGAGAGAAGCGGTGGCGGAGGAGCGACGTTGCCGAAACGCAACAACCGCGCGCACCTCTCCCTCTTGACTCAAATGCTTTTCTATCGCGAAAATTTAGATAAATACATCGCTCGATCGAATTATCATTACCCATCCAGCGTATATTAACGTGATTTATCTACAAGCATTCGATAAAATTGAATTCTTTTACGCTTTTATTTTTTCATTAGTATACATTTGTAAAATTATCGTGCAAGCTCCACTTTACACAAACCCGACAAAACTAATCAAAATTTCTGAAGATGCAAGCGCGATCGTCTCGTCAGCATCCATACAACTTACGTATTTATTATACCAAATAAAATCCTCGATTAAAATCATGTATAAGTGTCACCAATCCATGCCCACCTCGTAGTCGATTATTATTCCACAACATCATGTACATAAATTTCATTTAACGCGCTACTTATTCTCCTATCAAGAAACATATGGGGGTACCCCACTTGAGCTCGATGGAAAAAGTATCAGCTTCTCTCTCTTATGTACGTAGTATGTTGTGTATCAAGTGGGTGGAGGACATCACGGTAGATGATAAGTCACGACGCGACAATAATATTTAAGAAAAATGTCCAGCCGAGCGAGGTTCCCTCGTATTACCGGCAGCTGTTGCGCATATCGTCCTCCTTACTTCCTTGGTGCTCGTCCTTTTTTTCATCTCTCACGCTACGCGTGTGCCCCAGCGTACCCTACACCGTTAATACGAGCTCAGCTGTTTTAGTTTTTACTTTAATCGCTTCTTGGCTAGCAGTAACCGACGAAATGTGCGACGACGGCGGCGGCGGCTGTGATGGTGGTGGTGGTGGTGGTGGCGGCGGTTACGGCGATGACGACGGTGACGGCAGCGGCGGCGGCGGCGGCGGCGGCCGCGGCCGCGGCCAATGACGTATTTCTAGATGCTTCGTAGAGCGATGCGCGCAAAGGAGAATGTGAATTCCCGCACGAGCACTATTACGGCGTACTATTGTAAAATCAATTTGGACCGATTAAACCTCTTGGTCTGGCGTGAATGGCGTCGTGGCTCGGATGGGTGCCGCGAACTTAAACGTCAACTTCCTCAAACGAAGCACCAAAGATATAAAGAGTCGCGCGGGACTCCAACTCCTCGAACTTATAAAGTGTGGCCTTTTTGTAAGGAAGCAGCAGCAGCTGTTGGGCCAGCAGCTGAGCCACGAATATTGCTTCAAGTCCATATGAAATCGGACATTTGTTAATGGGGAGAGGGGGGGGGACTTTTCTCTACATTGTACTCTCCAATATCATTAAAGCGTACTGCGTCTGCTCGGTGAAAAACAAAATATAATACCTTGTAATACTGAATGATATGGCACTTGGCTTTTAGATTTCCTGGATTAGGAAAAAGGAGAATAAAAAAAGAAAGTTATTAATTATCCGATGTATGGTATTATTATTATTGAAATTAGCGTGAATATTGCGAAAAGCGGTAAATCGCCTCTTTATTGGCCTATCCTTATTTGTAAAAGTGTTACATCCATTAGTCAATTAATTTTTTTAGATATCGGAAAAGTTAATGTTGGTAGATATTATGTTACATTAAATGTAGGTTTAGTGCCTTTTAAATTATTCAAATATCTCATAATGAGCTTGAAGATGCACTTGTTAAGAATATTCGAGCTAGTAAATCTAGAGATTATCATAATATATAACAATCTGTGCCTTCGGTCTTTTATATTCAATTAAATATGAAATTGTAGCGAATCTTCTAAAATTCATGCGTGCCATGATTTTTGTATGGATTGTTCAAACGATATAAATATTTAATATTGAGTATCCACCACTGTTTATCCGAGCACTCGCTATAAGCATTATCATCTGAATTTTCCAGACTTCGCTTTCTATAATAATCTTGAATGAAGAGAAAAACGAACGAAAATTACAAAAAAAAAAAAAAAAAAAAAAAAAAAAAAAAAACAAGACAAAAACATGCAATGTAATGCAAAGCAACTACAAGTCGATCGTTTTCCGCATTAATTACCCTTTGTATATAGAAAGATTAGAGGCGTTATACCACCATCATATTTAATACTCGCCCGGCGGTTATCTAGAGCAAGTAATCGTAAAATTAATAATTATACTTTATATTGCAACTAGTATGCAGTGGCCGAAGATGTAATATGCAAAATGTTCGCCCTCCTGCCTGTTAATAGATATACAATTACACAATGGTTAATTAAATATAGATTTATAGAATTTAAAGTCTACACAGTGGAATATGAATTTTTGGAATAATTATCCTAATTATTGTATACATTTAGAAGAATAAAATTTGATATATGAGGTATAAAATAGCAGAAGCGGTGAATGAGGATTTAGTAAAGTTCTATTCGACAAATTGTAATATATAAAATTACGACTTAGTTGTTCTTTTTCTTAATATATTTAAATTTTTAATATCTAAGTTGTTTTTATCTTGTTATAAGTGTCGTGTAATGGAAATAAATATAAAACATAGAAAATCTTGTTAACGCTAAATTAAAATTGATCGAGTAACTTTGTTTCTTTTTATTTCCTTTTTTTTTTATTCTATTTTTTTTTTTTTAACTCCTATGATATATAAAATTAAATTTGACTTTTTTTTATAACCCTAGATATGCATATAAATATCTTACAAAAACATTATTATGCCGAACAACGAATGCTGCTAACTAATTCTCTTTCATTTAAAATTCAAAATTGCATATTTAATGTGGAATCATCGTAATAAAAATATCTAATTGAATAAATGTAGCTATTACACCATATTAATAGTTTTTACGGGTTTTTGCGTGTGCTTATCCAGACTTAAATAACGACTGAATTACATTTTATATTTCTAAGCCATGTTTATTCGCATAATCTATTCGTTAAAACACAATAATTATCATTTTAAGCAATGATTTATTTTAAATGGAGTTATTTCATGCTATCTAATCGTAACATTTTATTTCCATTCAAACAAATATGTGCATCGTTTGGAATATAATTCTAAATAATCTACTAACGTTTCTTTTTAATAATGATATCCTAAAGAACTATAATATATATATATATATATATATATATATATATATATACAATTAATTATAAATAAGCATCTTGGCTTTTTAATTTCGAAGACTACTTGTATGTATGTATGTTTAATTATATAGGAAATGGTTTTTATAATAAGTTTTATCACTAACAAAGACGATGAATGCAAACTCGTTTGATTGACGGATCTACATTCGCGCAAATACTTTTACAGAACAATAATTGTTTTTAATGAATAAAGAAAAATAATAATCAACGATGTTGCTCAGTTTTACAAATTAAAGGATTTTTCTAATTTACAGTTATTTCAACCTGATCGTTACGTATTTAGCCGCACGGTTTATTTTCAAATTGCTTAATATTTACTCGAAGCCTATAGCGAGTGCCTCTGTTTAATATAAAATACGCGATTAAAACAAAAGTATCTCTCGCTGACATCGACTTTATACCATCTTGATGATCATGATCAGATCATGACGCTTTGTAATTGAAGAAATTTGTCTAGGATAATACAGTTTTTGACAATCATAAAGTGGCGATATAAATCCTTAAG